ATATATACCCCTCATTCCACTCTCAAATATATCATAAAGCATCGAACTTGAAACACTTTGTACAACAAACAAGAAGTAGAAAACATGGGTTTTGATTTGCTTGGCGTTAGAAGAGCTAGACAAGNATATATATAGATGAAAGAATTTGTAAGAAATTGTTGTCCTTGTGTATTATTGAGGGTGGAGGGCTATCGGATAAAAATAAGGGAACCAACAGGGAGACAATGGCATATGGTGTTGCCTAGGAGGACTTTCTAATGGATGAATGCAACATGTTATAATTGATCATATGGGTCCCATATTCTGGAGCAAATGCACTTGAAAAAAACAGACTTGTGATATCAAACCTGTCTATGATCTCTAGCAATCCTTAGCCTTATAATTCATCAGCCCGAAATTATCTTCCACCTGTGCTGTACTTCAACATTAGACTGCGTTATCAACCTTAAGAAAACATATCCAGAGCATGTTTACGAAATTATGGAATACCAACTAATGCATTATTAAACGTTTGGTTTCACTTAAGCACGTCTAGTTTGGTTACAAGTGGAAAGTGTGTTTGGCACTGTTTGACAAAGTGGTGGGGTTACACACTCTACACAACTTTATCCTTGACAGAGACATTGAAGACAGCACCACATGATATCTCATGTGCATGTCTTCCGTCCTTTAACGCTACTTTTCTGTGAATTTAGTTTCTAGGGAATCTTTAGAACTATATATACAGCATCATTTCCCTTCACAAAGAACACAAGCCATTCGCATCCTCGAGTTTCAACATTTGGTTTCATTCACGTAAATTTGATATTGATCTTCTTCCTTTAAACAGGAACAAAAAATGGGCTTCCGTATACCAGCTATTCAAAGGCCATCATCAGTCACAGCTAGGCAAGCAGCTTCAAAATCTGTAGAAGTCCCAAAGGGCTATCTTGCAGTGTATGTTGGAGAGAAACAGACACGATTTGTGATTCCCATATCATATTTGAACCAACCTTCATTTCAAGACTTACTGAGTCAAGCTGAGGAAGAGTTTGGATATGATCATCCCATGGGTGGCCTCACAATTCCTTGCAGTGAAGATGTCTTCCAACATATAGATTCTCGCTTGAATAGAAAATAAATCTCACACTGTAGGACACTGACATAGATTAGTAGAGAAATTTTGTACCAGAGTGATCTTCTCAACTTGTAAAGATTGCCCCATTTTTTGTAGTGACAATGAATTCAATTGCCAAGTATTGTTGTTTATCAATTAAAATGTCCAGTTCTCTGCAATTCAATTAGAATTTGATTTTTATCATGAATTCCTTTGCATAACTGCCCATATGCTCCACAGTCTGAACAGAGCTAATAGTATGTTTCTTCAGCCACGGAGAAGCATCAGTTTATTATGGACTAGATATAAAGATTTTCAAGTTTAATACACATGTGAAGTTAAAATTAATGCCCCCGATCATACACAAGATTTCACCACTACCAAACTGCCAGCCAAGGTATATAGTAGTGGACCTAGTATATAGGTTTTTTCAATTGCTCTCATCTACTTCTATGTTTAACTTGTAGCTAAAAAAATTTCATATTCTAAGAATTGGGGTTTAGTTTCTAAGCACCTGTGCTTCCCTTATTTCTTCACTGAATGATTTAGCCATAAACCATGCACTATAATTACCAAAATTTAATCAGTGCAGCACTTATCAAATTTCAGAGCTTGTATATGTTGCACAGCTTAAGGCCAATTACAGTTGCTCTATAAATTTACTCATCGAAGCAAGCTCAGTGACTAAAGTGAAAAATATCAAAACAAAAAGAAAAGTAAAAAAGCTCAGTGCTTTAAAGAACCCAGGAGTGCAATATTTGTTAACTTAAGGGATTACAACTTGTTAAGCTCAATAGTTTTCCAATGTTCTTAATATTTTAAGACCTCAGAAAAGCTCACAAACTTCAGTTTGGATTTATCAACTGTATTCGTATCTAGTTAGACTGCAGAAAATTGAGTAAATCAACAAAGTTAAAAATTATGTTTTTATAACACTCCGCTATTTATAACTAACTACCTATACTTCCAAACAACTCTCTCAGGTAATCTATTGAGCAACATAACATAATGGAAGGCTCATTTGTACGGCCATATGCCAGAGGAACTTGTAGCATTAGCCAGCGTAAAATCATTAAAAGCAGTACATCTCTTGTCTTCAAATAATGTTATTCAATAACTCAAATAGATTTTAGGGTTTATAGTGTATCAATATCTGCCAGTTGGCTTATAGAGACCATGAACACAATATTTAATATGTCTATAGCATGTCTGATGGTAACCTATCCAAGGACTTCTCCGTAGGCAGAATTTATTAGATTTCAAGTAAAATCTGATGGTTAACCATCCAAGACATATCACATCAACCTTAATGAGCCCTGTCACTCCTTGGCCCTATCAAATGGTACATTCACCACCCAATTCAGGAGAGAGGCTTGAGTTATCTATCTATATATGTGTGTTCATCTTTCATTGAGCATACAAGCTTCACAAGTCATTACACTGAATCAGCTGAATTCAAATTCATTACAACCTTTAACTAATCTTCTGAGATCACTCTGTAGTTCTTTGTGTGTAGAAGCAAAAACAATGGGTTTTCACTTACTTGGAAGACGGACATCATTTACAAGCCAAGCTAGAAAGGTAGCGGAAGTCCCAAAAGGCTACCTTGCAATCTACGTTGGAGAGAAAATGAAGAGGTTCATGATTCCCGTATCATTCTTGAACCAGCCTTTATTTCAAGAATTGCTAAAACAAGCTGAAGATGAGTTCGGCTATGATCATCCTATGGGAGGTCTCACAATTCCCTGCAAGGAAGATGTGTTTTTAGATATAGCTTCTCGCTTGAATGTGCAATAGTCCATATTTCTCTTCAGAGGAGTAACATAGAGTAACATACTGTAGAGCAGACATTGCTTTTTATCATTTTTGTAGTATCCAATACGTTGTAAGAAAGTTTATGACATTTCAATGATAACATACCAAAGATTTATTCCGAATTTATGCTTACTTTTTGTATATATGAATGAATTAAAATACGATACAGCACAAACTTGGTGACCATCTATACCATCTGCCTCCCTCAACTGATCTTTTGTGGTATTTCTGCCAATTTTGCATTAATCTACTGAGTAGTTATAGTAGCGATATAGATTAGTTCGCTAAACATGACTGTGGCTGTTTTGAATGTACTATTGTAGTTCTGTCGATAACCTTAGACATGGATCCCATAATGTTGACCCCAGGTCTATACAAAAAAAAAAATTGCAAATAAATTGATTTAATTCTACAGAATTTGCTGCAATCTGTGAACTCCATCACTAATTAGAGTCATTGAAAAAGCCTCTACAGAAAAATGATTTTGTGCATTTTTATTCTTTTCATGATATATATTTAATGTAACATTCATGTATTTCCTTTGATCTTTTTAAAATGATAGTAGATCATTTATACTGAATGTTCTTTCCTCAGCATCCATGCTTCATTGTTATTCACTTATTCCTTTTTCTGATCTTTGTAAAATTAAGCAAAATGATACAAGAAATAACACATTTTAAAATATAAAAGCCTGATATCTGTTACTGGATTACCGTCAAAAACATAAACGTATGTTACTGGATTATTGAAATATGTCGTTCAACAACAGTGTCACATAAGCAATCTATGAGCTGTGTAAAAGTACAGGTCCCGTCTGAATTAAGCTCAATGTCTGTCTTCTGTCATGACCCACTGTGCCAAAACATTTATTCCAACTGGCAATTTGACATAACACCTATATAGATTTTCTTTTTCATTGAAAGATGATAGAATTTGAAAAGAAAGAGTTGATTGATTTAAAGATTCAGTGAAAGCAAAGACAGATGGCTTAATAGAAGTTAGAGACAAAATATAGTAGAAAAGTCATAATTTCTTAGCTTTTAGGCTTCACCCTTTTGTCAAAGGTCTTTGTAATCTCGTGCTTTCAGTTTTACTTTTAAACTAAACTAAACATGGAATAAAATCCATCTTAAGGCATCTGGCAATATTTACTTATAGGGGTAAAAGTAAAAGTTAATAATAATGATTTTCTCACCCTGAAGGATACCGGCAGTTGGAGTGAAACTGAAGGTATATTCCATTATTCCAATACTTCATCCAAATACACACAACAATGACAATAGAGGAATATACAAATGCAACAAACAATGTCTCAGTCTGCAATTAAATTGTATGTTGCTTTGTACTTGTTCCGTAGTAAACTCTGAGGTGCTGATGGAGAGTTCAATCTTAAGTACCTTCCGTGCTGTTGGCGAGGACTTGTCATGCAAGCTGTTATCACAATGAATGGCATTGTACAAATGCAACCACTGAATATAAGTTTTCAGTACCCTGCACAGATATTTGTCAACAATGAAACATACGTGTGAGGAAGAGAAGATGAGAGATGTCTGGTACATGTCTTCAACAATAAGAAACAGGGCATTAAATAGCTTGAACGATAATTAGGTTTTTTTGGTGTACAATTCTCTTTCAACTTCAAGCAATAACTTTATTGACCACACTTCCATAAAAATCTCCATTTCTGANGAATTAAGCTCAATGTCTGTCTTCTGTCATGACCCACTGTGCCAAAACATTTATTCCAACTGGCAATTTGACATAACACCTATATAGATTTTCTTTTTCATTGAAAGATGATAGAATTTGAAAAGAAAGAGTTGATTGATTTAAAGATTCAGTGAAAGCAAAGACAGATGGCTTAATAGAAGTTAGAGACAAAATATAGTAGAAAAGTCATAATTTCTTAGCTTTTAGGCTTCACCCTTTTGTCAAAGGTCTTTGTAATCTCGTGCTTTCAGTTTTACTTTTAAACTAAACTAAACATGGAATAAAATCCATCTTAAGGCATCTGGCAATATTTACTTATAGGGGTAAAAGTAAAAGTTAATAATAATGATTTTCTCACCCTGAAGGATACCGGCAGTTGGAGTGAAACTGAAGGTATATTCCATTATTCCAATACTTCATCCAAATACACACAACAATGACAATAGAGGAATATACAAATGCAACAAACAATGTCTCAGTCTGCAATTAAATTGTATGTTGCTTTGTACTTGTTCCGTAGTAAACTCTGAGGTGCTGATGGAGAGTTCAATCTTAAGTACCTTCCGTGCTGTTGGCGAGGACTTGTCATGCAAGCTGTTATCACAATGAATGGCATTGTACAAATGCAACCACTGAATATAAGTTTTCAGTACCCTGCACAGATATTTGTCAACAATGAAACATACGTGTGAGGAAGAGAAGATGAGAGATGTCTGGTACATGTCTTCAACAATAAGAAACAGGGCATTAAATAGATTGAACGATAATTAGGTTTTTTTGGTGTACAATTCTCTTTCAACTTCAAGCAATAACTTTATTGACCACACTTCCATAAAAATCTCCATTTCTGATAAAGACGTGTAAGACAAAACCACATGGTTCATGATCCCTTGTTTCTCACCAGACCCAAAGAGCCTTAAACCATTCAATTTGGGAAGCAAGGTGATCCACACAAGCGCCATATATATACCCCTCATTCCACTCTCAAATATATCATAAAGCATCGAACTTGAAACACTTTGTACAACAAACAAGAAGTAGAAAACATGGGTTTTGATTTGCTTGGCGTTAGAAGAGCTAGACAAGAAGTTTCAAAGGGTACCGAAGTCCCAAAAGGATACCTTGCAGTGTATGTCGGAGAGAAAAAGAAGAGGTTCGTGATTCCGATTGGATGCTTAAATCAACCCTCGTTCCAGGACTTGCTAAGCAAAGCAGTGGAAGAATATGGGTACCATCATCCAATGGGTGGTCTTACAATTCCTTGCAAAGAAGATGTCTTCTTAAATATCATGTCGGTTCTCACTTGAATACGTCTGAGACACCGACACACATGATAGTATCTAGTTCAAACAAACAATTTTGTAGAGATTACATTTTTCTTTCTCCCTTTGCTTTCATGCAAAAGTGGAAGATGTGTATAGGAACAAAATCATTGGTTCCATTGATTATGTTGATAAATTGAAACATACGCACACTCGCTTTGTTGAAGCATCTACTTGTTGTTGAATACTCTGTTACCACACACTTGCACTTTCTGGGTTTTGTATTTATCCCCAAGCTCAGATAATTTTTTGTGGAATAATAAAATAATAATACTTATAATAAAATCTAAACGAATAGTAATATATTTTATTTATAATAAAAATTATGAAAAAGTAATATTGTTATTAAAAATAATAATAGTCTTACAAAATGATAAGAATAATAATATTATTAAAAACATTAAAATTAGAATAAAAATAAAAAAAATTATAAAGTAATAAATTAAATAAATCAATAATAATAAAATAAATAAATAAATTTGTAAAATAATAATTAAAATTAATTTATAATGTTAAGGGTAATTTTATCATTTAATAAATATATCATTTTATGATCTTTTAAATTTATTATATCGATGAAATTAGATACTATAAAGTTTCTTCTTTGCTTTAAACTCTCTTTCCCCTTAATTTAAAATAACCTTACTATTCACTCATTTTTCTTTTCTTTTCTTTTCTACTCCCTCATGCATTTCTTAATCCAAATACATTATTAAAGTAATCTCACAATGACTATCACAACTTAAGATCTAGCCATTAATTACCATTCAAGCTTAGATGTTTCTTCCGTGCATTTCACTAATTTCTTGATTGACCTCATTCATTATAAAATGAGTTTCTTTGGGGAATATATTTACATTTTAGAAAACTTATTACTGGATGAATGGGAGATAATTAAAAAAATCAATGGAGTACAGGAAGATAATCAAAACCTTATCCTTGCATGATGAATCCAGTCTTCTTTCCTTTGGGCTCACTTCCCGCTACACAAGCCGAAGTCTCTTACTTCTTTTTGGGCCGATGGGCTCACTTTGGGTTTTTCTCATTTTTGCTCAATGGACTTTGGGTTTGCATGAAGATTACCAAATGTATTCTACTGTCAATTGTGTTCCTGTGTTTAGTTAATTGTACAAGTAATTGTGTTGTTGTGAGGTAAACGTGTGAATTCAGGCTTATAAATTTAGTTAAAACACAAGATATGTTTAAGTATAAATAGTTATCCATTTAAGTTTAGGTTTTGCATCCAAGTCATAATATCACCAAAACAGCATCTGGAATAAGAATCCCATGTTGGATTTTTTGTTACTGCACCCCCTCAAATATGTATATCCTACCACAGATATGTTTGGATAAACTTATTTTTGCTATAGTTGTACAACAGTAACAGCAGAACAGAATAGGGAGAAGAAAAGTGCATTTGAGAGAATAGTCTAAGAGGGACCAAGCAGGAGGAAAAAGAACTATCTCGACAGCTCTGAATAATTGCAAAACATGTCATGCATAACAGAAAAAGAAGAATATCCACAACTTCAAAAGACACCGATAAACTTCGATGAAAGCGTTATTAACAATGCAATGGTCACCCATCTTGTCTCTTCTCAGACAACTGTTTAGAATGGTTTTTTAAGTGATCTGATTGGATAATCTTATATTTTTAAAGATTTTTATGGAGTTGTAACAACTTTTCATAATATTTTTTCTTTTTCGAGTGACTTGATCGGATAATCTTATATTTTTAAAGATTTTTATGGAGTTGTAAGTGTGATCAAAGTAACATATTTTGACATAGAAAATTCTTTTACACTTATTTGATACTATGATTTACAACTTTTCACTTTTTCTTCTCTGTTACAAATACAAAAATTTAATTTTTTTTTATAGCTATTTTATCTTTATCTCAAATAGATGTAATGTATGTCAAACTATAGTTACTCCAAACAAAATTTGGCAGAGAAATTGTATAGGTAAAATTCATTGAAACTTCACCAAAAAAAGAAATATGACATTTCTAAATACTTTCTCACTTAGATAGTGTTTTCCACTTACAAACGAAGGATAATAAATAAATAAATAAAATTGTCTTCTGTACAGTTTGTCTCAACTAATCTACGTGAGTCTCCTCCAATATGATTTATAGCCTATTCAAACGAGAAGTGAGATCTAAGAAAGCCTCTTCCCTGCAAGGAATTGTGATACCACCCATTGGATGGGCATACCCGAATTCTTCCTCAGCTTGGCTCAACAATTCTTGAAATAAAGGTTGATTCAAGTATGAAATAGGAATCACGAACCGCTTCATTTTCTCTCCAACATAGACTGCTAGATAGCCTTTTGGGACCTCCACAGCCTTGGAAGCTGCTTTGGTGACAGCAAAAGATGATCTTCTAATACCGGGTAAGCGGAAGCCCATTGTTTCTTGAGATGAATTGCACAGAGAACAATACCAAAAAATGCAAGAGCTTGTGTGTGAAGAAATGCTTAAGTTGTTTGTGATTGGCTTGCCTTGCTTGAGAATGTCATTGTGAGTATATATAGATAGATATACTACGAGTCTGTGTGAACCCGGTTCTCTGATGAACTCAATGGTTGGTGGGCAATTTGATGCTTGATGGGGTCTAGTGAGAGACAGGGGCTAATGAGGTGTCACATGATATTGCCTACATGATTTTAGTGAACGATTATTTGAGAATTGAGAACTCATGCCAACCTGGTTGCACTTCAGAAAGAGACTTTACAGCAAATAAGCAAATAATTGCATAACCAATATAATGGCCTTCTTCTTGTGTTCCAGACAGGCTCAAAACATATACATTTGTTCTTCAAGTTAATGAACTACCACTTTCTGATAACTAATACAGTAAAAGAAATGTCTACTGTGGAGTGTTTATGCAGATCTGTTTCACCCTCCATGTGATAAAAGTGGTGCAAAAGGAGCATCCACTACATAGTCCCCACAAAACAAGACTTGAATGTTGTGTAGACTGTTACATGTAACTAAAAGATACCAAAATTAAAATTGTATTAATATTGATTTCTCAGTTTCTCTTACTAGATGAATATCCAGTTGATAGAACCAATCCAAAGTTTGAGTTCCATACATTCTTGCTATGAATTGCTTAGATACAAGGCAATCTTTAAAGAGATTGCTCAAATAGCCTATAGGCTAGTAAATATAGATATTTTGGTTTCCCAAATCACCTAGAGATTTATTTTTTCGATTTCCACTTGCACTATTTAGAGTGAGAAATTTAAAATTCTGCTGGAACTTCAGTTGATCTTAAAACACAAGTAGCTCTCAAATCTGAGAGAGGGAAAAACTGATCATTGAACTTTGGAAATTTAAGGCATGGCTATGATGCATGTAGCCAAATAGCGTCATGTGATTCATATAACTGATCTCACCTACTGGGATAAGTCTTTGTTGTTGTAAATACCCCAATGCCAATGTTCTTGTGGACCTACCTAGGCAGAGAAGCCACTTCGTGTATGATCTGGGTCAATGCTCCTCAAAAATCTTAATTTCATATGTATAATCTTGAACATATTTTTGGTTTATAAGAAAAAATAATTTTAACTTCCCCCTGAGTATATTATCTTTCTGTATGTTCCTAACTCATCAGAAATATACTCTTGCTCTGCCCTGACAAGTAATCTCATGTTCTGTTCCGGCTATAAAAATTTATTAGTTCAGCCAAGTGTAGTTTTTCCTAGATCAAGCAGCCTTACTCATGATTTGTGATTTTTCTTTTATTTAAGGGACAAATTAACAATTAAACATTGTAACTATCGGACAGAAAACACAAAGAAGCCATTTGAATAATTCAATTCATTGTTATAATGCAAGAAAAGAGAGAGAGCATACTCTTGATTAGACATTCTGATGTTAAGTCAATTCTCCTGTACAAAAAGTTTCTACTAATCTATGTCAGCCTTCTAAAGTGTGAGATTTATATCACATTCAAGCATGAAGTTATATGTTGGAAGCTATCTTCGCTGCAAGGAATTGTGAGGCCGCCCATGGGATGATTATATCCAAACTCCTCTTCAGCTTGACTCAACAATTCTCGGAACAAAGGCTGGTTCAAGTATGATAGAGGAATCACAAACCGCTTCATTTTCTCTCCAACATACACCGCAAGATAGCCTTTTGGTGCATTCACTGCTCTTGAAGACGCTTGACTGACTGCAAATAATGTTTTTTTGCTACCTGGTAAACGAAAACCCATTGTTATATTGATTGTGTTAGAGACTGGAGAAGAGAATGGTCTAAGAAAGGACTCTTAGTATAAGCTTCTGAATTTTGAATGCTTATGGATGTGAATGATTTGTGTTGATCCTAAATTCTCTTAGCAGCAGATATATATACATAGATCAAAGGATATGCAAGAAACCATAGGCTACTTGGATTATTGGTGAAAGAGAGCTATGAGTTGTTGCTAAGGGACCAAATGAGAGACAAAGCATATGGTGTTGTCTTAGAGGACTTTCTACTGATTCAACGTAACATGTTATAGCAGATAACATAACTCAAGTCCCACCTTCTGGAACAGATTACCCCACTTAAAATAAAACATGTGCATATGTGAAAGAGAGAAACTAATTGATCATGTTGAAACTTCTTCATGGCAGCAGCAAACTTTGTTTATGCAAATTACACACCGTGTGTCCCTAGAATCTGATGTACATAAAAAATGTGGTCCATGGTGCCTCGTGATCAAGTATTCAATGTTGGTTCTCTTATATCCAAGCGCTGTTTAAGAGCTGGCAATCAACTATGGTCAATTCTCAAGGTTTACAGGTTATTTATTGCTACTTACATATTTTATATATCTTCTTCAAAGAAACATGGGTGATGTCTGAAGCATGTCTACCATTGAAACAGCTACTGCTCAATGAATGAACAAGCATTACATTTCACCACTGCTGATGTATCTAAGTTCAAGTAGGTAAACATGTTGGCCATTATGTGGGGTATGGTATACACTCACATTTATCTTCCTAATCCTTGAAATAAATCTCCAAGACAACACCATGTGATTCCTTGTCCCTCAATAGAACTGTTGTAAGAAATTCACTCACGGAGGAATTGGAATATTGCAGATGCAGATGACTCATAAGGGACTATATATATATACACTATTTTTTGTGCTCAAGCAACACAATTCATTTACATCCTCAAGCATCTGCATTCAAATATTTCTTTCTCATACAAGCCTTTTGACAATACTCAATACTATTTGTTTGTAGAGCAAAAAATACAATGGGTTTCCGCATACCAGGTATTATTAGACAACCATCATTTTCTGCTGTCAAAGAAAACAAGGGACTTGAAGTTCCAAAAGGCCATCTTGCAGTGTATGTTGGAGATAAGATGAGGCGGTTTGTGATTCCAGTATCTTTGTTAAATCAACCCTCTTTTCAAGAATTGCTAAGTCGAGCAGAAGAAGAGTTTGGATATGATCATCCAGCTGGTGGTCTTACAATTCCATGCAAGGAGGATGAGTTTCTACATCATGTTATAATGGTGCTCGGATAGATTAGTTGAGAAAAAATTTGTACAGAAGGAACTTACTTTTATTATGAATTTTGTTATGCTGTATTTTTCCTTGTATAATCCAACTGAAGTTGGAAATTTTGACTTGAATGACAATGCTAACAGAAGATATTGCAAAACCACTTCTTTGTTTTTCTCCAATATTTTAATAAGTATAAATGCTATAGTGTCAGTATCAAATCTCAGTGGAAATACACCAGTCAATCTATTATCTTTTGGTGGGGATTAAATGCAGTTACTATTTTGGAGATATTAGCCAAACTTTCATCGCATGTTTTTGAACTGCACATGGAGAGATACAACTCATGAAATGTTTGGATGTAAAGGCCAGTCTATGCGTATGACACTGTTCAACGTCAAATTAATGACTGTTCTCTATCATTTTGAAAACTAATATTACTTTGTTGTGTTTCATTTATACCAGAATTATTTTCATGCATATTGATAAATACAATAAAAGTTATTATAAACATATGCAATACAAAGGTTTAACATTTAGATTCATGCACATCTCTCATTATGGACAGTCACTCAGATCATTATAGCAATTTTGTCCAACTTATCCGACCAAAAAGATGGATTTCGATCACGAATCTGAATAATCATTTTCAAAATTCACGAAAAGAAAATACTTAACTAGAGCTAGCACATTATCCACATCAAGTGAAAATAATTTATTTTAGTTCAGTTAGCAGTGACACAATCCCAAGATATCTACATCCACTTGAAGTTAAAAGAATGTGCATGAATTTGAAACCATTTCAAGTCTTGATATTGGGCTTTAAATTTGGACCCCATGCAAAAGTGGATAGGTTGTATCTTCTTGCACGCCATTATCACTAACTGCACCCCCATTTCAACTCAAAAAGACTATCATACCCTCCTTTACTGTCACCATCACCACTGTTGCTGCCTTCATTGGGACTGTTGCACCATTCTCACCGTAGATGAAGACGAAAAGAGAGAGAAAGCTCATTCCAGAAAAAAAACTCATTTCATATGTTTTGGAAAACTTGTTCTGAAAAGTTCATTCCAAGAAAACTCATTCCTGTATGATATATGTTTTGGAAAGCTAATTCTGGAACTTCTTTTTTAGAAAATTTGTTCCAAAATGCATTTTATACATTTTAAAAATTTGTTCTAGAAATCCTTTTCCAGAAATTCTGTTCTGGAAAACCTATTATGTAAACATGTTTATAAAATTTTGAAAAACTTGTTCTGGAAGATTTTCAGAGTAATTTTTAATTTTTTGCCAGCTCTAGAAAAGTTAAGGAACTTCAATGACTACAAGTTTCTATTTTTCAGAAAAATAATCTATGAAAAAATACTACACACTAGAATAAATTTTTTGGTGGTAGATTAAAAAAAGTAAACAGAAACTATGTTTGTGAGATTATTATGGGAGGGCAAAAGGAGTGCCAATTGAATTATAATGTATTACTCTAAAATGCAAAGTTTCTTTCACGTTCCTTGTCGATTTTGTGTCTTCCATTCCTAATAATGTTGAGCTATTAGAACTGTTTCACAAATAGAACCTAGTAATGGGTGAACCGATTAACATGTTGTTTTATGGTTAACTGTAAGTACACTATTGTTACATAAAATGTTAAAGTATTTGGCCTTCCAAAAATCGGGTCCAGTAGTGCAATAGTGGGAGTATTTCACGTGCAGTGGTTGAAAACAACTTTTGTGCAATCACATGGACGATTTGAGTTTTCAATTGAGTGGCTCTATTATTGGAATGCTTTATGAATTCAATAGAGAATGAACAGGTACAAAGACATTGAAGTGAAGCTGAACTAACTAACCTAGCCATTTTTCATTTCCCATAACTGTTGTAAAATCTGCATTATCTGATGTACTTCACACTCTATTGGTCTAATCAACTTGCATAACAAGCACTTTGCCACACCTAATTTGCCTTTTACTGTAGTTTACTTACACGAAACAATGCAAACTTCTACTGTGAAAGTTGCGTTTCATGTGAATTCGAGTTGAAGAGGAAGGTAAACTAAAAGGAGATAAGAGGAGCAATTGTTGCAGTTTATGAAACTGTATAAACCAAAGTTATCATCCTTGGTTTAGCAAAAGAACAAATATGTAGAGGCTCTAATGCACGGAACAAACCTTCTACCAAATAATTGAAACCTTTGGCTTTTGTTTCAAATAATGACGTAGTGCTCACCCATTAATTATTAACTTGTTGATTATATTTGTAAACGATAATATTATATGCTTATATATAATTTATAAAGATATCGTTTTTGTTGAATTTAGTGAAAATCTATACATGAATTAATCTCTCTTTGTGTTGAATATACACTTAAAATCTTCTATTTATAATAAAAAAATATGAATTAAGTTCAAAATACAAATAAAAAAAATAATAAATTAACTAAAGTTAAATATAAAATAAAGATAAATCTAACCGTTTTAATTCATTGTTAATCTAAAATTTACATAATCAACTAATAAAAAAATGATAACAATTTTTAAAATAAGTTAAATAAATTGTTGTCAAAAATCTAAATGTAACTTTAAATCTCTCATTAAATAAAAATAGAAAATTAAACATTGCTCAGACATAAATATTGTCTTGACACTTTGATCTTGGTGTCTATTCTTTTAGATGGAGTGGGATTCTAATCTCACTATGAAGTAAGATTTCAAATATAATTAGATAATAATATAGAAAATCACACACACACACCCACATAAAAAAATTTGATTTTTAGTCTCTTCACCATCTGGTTTCAAAAGAACAAAATCAAACTCCATAATGGGTCATTGAATTGAGGCTGATCTGGTTTAGAAATGAAGTTTCTGTGCTAGAATTAGTCCAACATATTAGGTAGGTGAGAATGGGAAGGTGGTATTTCATTATAGATTTGACATTGTATCTACTATTTAGGATGGGATTTTTAAAAGGGGTATTAAGTTTATGAGATGAAGTCAATTGGACCAAATTAAACAAAGGATTAACTTAACCTAATCCTGAAATTATGTGAAGGAAGTAGATAGGACTATCTATTATCAGTTTTGTCACAACAGAAGCTGTCTGGTGATGACAAGAAACTGCCAGTAAAGAGCATCAGTCTAAATTCAAAGATCCTTTTAATAGGTCTGACCAGTTCAACATATTTTCCAATTCATGTTGGCATTTCATGTCAAGAACGTGCCTAGAATAAAAAGGGCCAAACCATTATTCGTTCAAAGCATGAAACAATAATCAACAAATAGTACAAGTTTCAACTAGTACCACACTTTTATTTCTGGCTCCAAAATACAGTGGGTCCTCATGTTCTGGTCTGGATTAGGCACACTCATGTGAACATACCCCAAGTCCTTCACCTGACATGTTTCTGAACATTCCTCATATCATAATATCATCCTTATCAGCTATTTAGAAATCAGTGCATGGCTTCACTTCACCTCTATATATACAAGTCTGCATTTTCTTCTGATACCAATTCGAGCCATAAAACATTTTATCAATTCATATTAAACTTTGGTTCATATCTATCCTTCTGCATCATGAAGACTGGTAACAGATTTGTGGGGATAGCTAATGCCAAGCAGAAACTTCAGAGAACTCTTTCACAGAGAATCAAAATGGCTTCTGCTGTTGCTGATGTTCCAAAAGGGCATTTGGCAGTGTACGTTGGAGAGAACCATAAGAGGTTTGTGATTCCAATATCTTACCTAAGCCACCCTTTGTTCAGAGACTTGTTGGATTGGGCTGAAGAAGAATTCGGATTCAACCATCCAATGGGTGGTCTCACTATTCCATGCACTGAACATTACTTCATTACTCTAACTTCTTCTCTTAGTTGATTTCTGGTTCAAAAACCTGCAATGGTTTCATCAATTTGGCCAATTGAACATTGGCTATTTTCATTTTCCTAGTTCATAGACAGATAGGAGCAATAATATCTGGTCTCGTCCATTCATTTTGTTCTGGAGATTCTCCTTAATCCAATTGCATCACAACCGATGCCTTCAAATTTTGTACATATATCTCTGTCATTGAGTTCAAGCAAATTTATGATTCCAAATGTTGCTCTGAAAATTGTTGGATATTGGGCTCCAACTGATAACAAAGGCCTTTGAATATACTGGTTTATTTTAGAGTAAAGTGTTCGACTTTTTCCACAGTTAGATTCATCACTATAATATCATTTCCTTCATTCTTCACTAAAATTATATCAGCACAGCAATAACATCAATACACTGTTAACTGGAGTGGAGAACAGCAACATAAGTATACAGTTAACAAAGTAAATTGTTTTAAAATGACAGTTATTTTATAGAAATCTTTTCGGCATTAATATGTACTGTAGAGTAGAGAATGTTGCTTTTTCCTAATAACTTATAAAGGTTCTGTTCTGTGTAAAAGAATTATTAAGGTGAAAACATGAATGTCACTGGCCATTTGGCTTATTTACTAGAAAATATTGCTAAAACTATGGACGGATTAAAAACGATTGAAAGATTTGCGTAAATTTAAAAGAAAAATATTATTAATTGAATGTTTTTAAAACTATAAACATGTTGAAAATGAATTAAATACTAGAATCAAACTTTAAATTAAGTACTATAAGCCAGCCTTTTACAAATTTGTTTGTTGCAACACAATGTTGCAAAAAGTAATTCTTTGATTCGTCAATACTATTTGAAAATTTGTTGGGATATTGGAATTTGTATATCTTTTCTACATGTTTCCATTCATCATTTATTTTGCATTTTATATTTAATCTCTATAACCATTTGTTGTGTTTATGATTATTTTTCTTACAAGAGAGACAAAATGGAAAAAAATTTTACATGTTGATTTTGTTGCATTTGTTCATTTTGCAGTTTTTAACTTTGAAATCATTTTTGTTGCTGTAAATAAAATACCTTCACGAGAAATATCTTAACTCATTAATCTTTGTTACTCATGTGATTACAAGACATCTATCATTTCTGTCAAATTATATGTAGACAAATTCTTTAGGTTTTCCAATAAAGTAATTGATTATTTATATCACTCCTGTAATGTTACAAGAGTTTTTACTTCAAGTCTAAAATTTGGAAACTCTTTACCCAATAATTTCATCTTGTTAACAATGTTCAACATTTTGTTTGAGTGTTCCTTAATTGTTTTAGACTCTTTCATTATTTGCGGTTCAAACTCTCTTATCAAATTAGCACTTTTCATGTCTCAAATCATCTAGTCTTCTTATTTTTCTTTCAAATCATTTCAAATACTTTTAGGGATTCTAAGGTCATGATTCTAGTGAGGATCGTTTATGAAACACCAACAAGCAAACATACATTTGCATTCGCATTCTTTGTCTTTTTTTTCCTTTTGCATTTTGATTTGAGTCATAATGGTATTCTCATGCACCGAATCAATGATCTAGTCCTCTTCCACAATTTCCAATAAATATAATCTTTCTAAATAAGTTTGCATTCTTGTAACTGATGATGGAAACTTATAAATCATAGCAAATTATTTGAAAAACTTTTCTCCTTTCATTCTATTTGAATGGTAAGATTTTGAAAATACAATATGACGTATAAAAGAACTTGTTATTTATTTTATTCATATGATTTATATATAGAATAGAAATGTAAGAAAATATCAAATATTAATCGATGTCTCAATTTTACTTTTGTAAATTTAAATAATAAATTAATATATTTTTAATTTTATATAAAAAAAATTATCTCTAAAAAAGTAAAAGATTTTTTTAAAAATAATTTAAATAAGAAAATATGAAGCAAATATTTTCAACTGTTTTTAACCTTAAAAATTTAAAAGTGAAACTAAAAGTCCGGTACATATATAAAGGAAAAAGGGTAGGAAAGCTCATTTGGAAAATGCATTGCATTTGGCATTACATGTGTGGATCATGGTGTTTTCTTGGTACATATATGCATCATTGTGTTTATGGTATGCAATGTTTTGCTAAGTATCTATCTAATTTAACAATGTATCATACATAGTAAGTTGGAGTGTTAGGGTGCAAGTTCCGTAAAGTGGGCAACTAGGACATTACAACTTCCCATCTTCCATCACAACCAAAAACAATACGGATTATTCTCATCACAAATTCCAATCAATCACATGCCCCTTTTTTTTAAGATAATCTTTAAAAAACTGACAAATATAATTTTAACTAAATTACATATAAACTTAATTAAGTTTCAATTTTTTTATAAAATTAAATATTTTTAATTGGATCTTTATTAATTTATACTTATAATCTCAATATCTTATTTTAACCAACCACAATAAGTCATAAAAAAATATAAAAATGAACTAATTACCAATAATTAAGAAAAATAGTCTTGTAAATTAAAATTAAAAAAAAGAAAAAATATATTTACATCAGAGTTTTGAATGGATAGAAAACAAACTACACAAGATGACAGAATCATTAATTGCACATAAATAAAGATTGTTTGAACCCTCCAAAAGAAGGGAAAGAAATTATGGAACAGACCAAATGACCGTCCTAGGTGTTTATGCCGTTAAAATTAAGAAGGAGCAGTGAATTGAAGCATTTTTAGGACTTAGCATAGGAAAATATGTCCAATTTATGTGTCTGGTCTGGTCCTCTGTACAGGCACAAAGACAACAACTCTAACGTTTGCACAATAAATTGTCTTTCATAATATTAACATTATTTGGCCAAACCATACACTCTAGTATTTCAATTGTCTGTCAAATGAAATTTATTCATCATTTATTAATCTACTCTTTATAGGTAAATATCAGTATTGGACCTTAATTTCATGCCTAGTGGGTGGCTTCAATGTGGATTTTGGCCCAACCTAACCCACCTTATCCGAATTAAGCTACTTTCACGGGATGTGTTAGATTCAAGACATTCCAACAGGAAAACTCTACAATCACACAAGTGTAATAATGAGTTAGAATCACTTTTTTTTATTATTTAATTTTTTATTACTGATTTTTCAAATAATTTATTAGAAGATAATAAAACCACAAAATTATTCATTATAATAAATAATTAAATATATTTTTCATCTTCAAACTGTTATAAAAAATTGTTTATAGACTAAATTATATATATTAACTACAACAAAACTTGAAATATCAGGTTCTGAAAAATATTAACACCTCTATGATTTGCTAAAAAGCTTATTCTGGAAAGCTTATTCCAGAAGGTATCAGATATATTTTGAAAAAATGGTTCTGAAATCTCGAATAATTTAAAAAATTTGTTCCAAAAAACTTGTTTCGGAGAACACGTTCCAAAATACATCTCATTTGTTCTGGAAATTCTGGAAAACATGTCCGGTCCAAACAAGTAATTTCAAAGTCATCTGTATGAGGGATAAAATGGTCATTTTAAAAATAAGGAGAATGCAGTTAGAAATTAAGAGATGTAAGAAGCAGAAACCTCAATTCTACCAAACCTTTACCCCCCACATAGCCCAACCCATGTTCAAGAAAATGGAAAAGAATAAATATGTGGCTTCTTCGTGCACCCTCGATTTTCTTCTCAATTTTCTTCTTGCACTCCCAAATTTTTCTAATTAGGTAAAAATTATTTAATGTTCTCACTGTACATTCCTGATAGATTTCAAAATTCGGTTATAAGAACAAATCACACTTATTTGACTTTANCCCCCCCCCCCCCCACATAGCCCAACCCATGTTCAAGAAAATGGAAAAGAATAAATATGTGGCTTCTTCGTGCACCCTCAATTTTCTTCTCAATTTTCTTCTTGCACTCCCAAATTTTTCTAATTAGGTAAAAATTATTTAATGTTCTCACTGTACATTCCTGATAGATTTCAAAATTCTGTTATAAGAACAAATCACACTTATTTGACTTTAATCGAATTTTGAAATTGGGTGAATAAAAATATATTACTAAATTTTAAAATTTAGTTCATGCATAAAATTATTGTTAATTGGATTTTATAATCTAGTTCACTCATGAATTTTTCATTCCACCAGAATTTTGAATTCTAATAAACACTGAAAATGAATCGAATTTTACAATTTGGATTTAAATTTTAAAGTCCAATAAACACTTAAAATGAATCGAATTTTACAATTTGATAAATACATCAATTCACAAAATAGAATTCAAAGTTTAATATAGATTTTATTGGATCTCAGAAAAAATCGAATTTTTAAATCTAATGTTCATTAGATTTCTAAATCTGATATACTTTTCACTTAATCCATTAGTACAAAAAATAATGTATAACGTTACGCGTTTAACGTCCAACTACTACGTTAAAAATAACCAATGACATTTTTGTAAATAAATGTAATTATTAGGCATTGTTTAGAACTGTAATTCGACGGTCAATTTGTTATAAAGCATCTAATATTGAGAAGTCTGACGTACTATTGGGTAAATTTGGCGAAAATGTTTGGCCCGAAAATGAAAATTGCGTATAACGTCGAATATCCTAGAATTAGATGTCAAAAGGTTATAAAACGTCGAATGCCCTGATATAGACGTCAGAAGGTTAGTGAATTCAATAAAAATTTGAGCAGGAGATTAAAAATTCATTCACTTTATCTTATCGCGCGAGACCCTCGTGTTTATGACCTTCATATGTGCATTATGCTTTCTCTCTCATTGGTGACAACACTTTATTCCGACGAACTCACCTTTTGAATGTTAGTTTTCATTTTCGTTTTGAAGAACTTATTTGTTGAACTTGTTTGTTGTTGTTGTTTGGTTGAACTTGTTTCTTGTTGTTGTTTGGTTGAACTTGTTTATTGTTGTTGTTTGGTTGAACTTGTTTGTTGTTGTTAGTTGTTGTTTGGTTGAATTGTTTGTTGTTGATACTACATTGCACGTTCATAGTTCATGTTTTATAAAATACCAAAAATTATTTTTTTTTCTGCTTTTTAGGTCTTCGTAGAATTGTAATTCGACATTAATCTTCATTGACGTCATCAGACATTTTTATGT